TTGTTGTTGTTGTTGTTGTTGTTGTTGTTGTTGTTGTTGTTGTTGTTGTTGTTGTTGTTGTTGTTGTTGTTGTTGTAATAAAACTCAGCTGATCATTCCACTGAGTGCCTTCATTCTTGGACCACGTATTTCTGTCTTTGTTAAATAAATATTTCCATAACAGATACTTTATTGTTTTAGATTTTATTATTTTTACTTTCACAAAATACAGCACAGAAATCTTAACTTGTTGTTTTTTAATAATTCTGTGTTTTGAAGCACTGCTGTAAGTTTTAAATAAGGGGGGGAAAGTTTAACTCAAGGCGTCATTAACAAGCCAGTAACAAATAAAACCACATTTCCCATAGGTCCTTGCGGTCACTACCCGGAACTCAGTGGAATCTTATCTTTTCTCCTGAACGAAGTCATCTTTAAAGTGAGCCTTCAGAAGTCTGTTCATGTGGAAACTCAGCAAWTGAGGTAAGAAACTTTTACAGCCCGTCAAATCACGTATGTTTAAACAGAAGATAGAAAAAAGTTTTACGGTAAAAATAGAGACAGGACCGACAGGAAGCACCTGCTGCTGCTGCAGCTTCTGAATAATTGTTCAGAAATGTATGTGGGAAAGTCTTTCTCATTTTACTTTGTGACCTGTTTACCTGTTCTTTACCTGCTATTACCTGTTGTAACCTGTCTGCTGTTACCTGTTGTTTACCTGCTGATACCTGAAGTTTACCTGCTGTTACCTGTTGTTTACCTACTGTACTCTTTTGTTTACTTGTTGTAACCATGTTGTTTACCTGCTGTTACCTGTCTGATGTTACCTGTTGTTTACCTGCTGTTACCTGTCTGATGTTACCTGTTGTTTACTGGCTGTTACCTGTCTGATGTTACCTGCTGTTTACCTGTTATTACGTGTTGTTTACCTACTGTACTCTTTTGTTTACTTGTTGTAACCATGTTGTTTACCTGCTGTTACCTGTCTGACGTTACCTGCTGTTCACCTGCTATTACCTGTTGTTTACACACAAACACAGGTTTGTTTATATATCCCCGTGGGGACCGTGGATTGACTTCCATTCATTTTCTTGTAATTTTATATTCTAACCCTGAACATTTACCCTAACCTTAACCTCACAGGTACCTCCCTGACCCTAAAACTAACCTGAACTCAGTTCACACCTTGGTCCTAAACCCAACCCCCACCCGAAATTACCATTTGTACCTGTGGGGACCGGGCATTGGTCCTCATGATGCACATTTGGTCCCCAAGAGACTGCCTTTTTCTGGAAATTGGTTCACACAATGTAGCAAAAATATGC